GGGGGAAAGGAACGTTTAATTTTTTGTAGTTCAGCATCTTCTTTTTTTTTTTAATTCCAGCATTATTTTACGAGAAATTTCGAAATTCAGACATTCGAAGCAATTTGGTATACAACACAAATTATTTATTCAAATATATTCAAAATAGATGTATTCAAATAGATGTCTGGTGTATTAGGAGAGAATCAGGCTCAGAGTTTCTTCCAGGCATATCTTAACTCCCCCCCCCTCCCGAACGAAATGGAATTTATATAGAAAAGCCCGCCCCCCACAACTTCTCCACTGCAGATATCAAGTGCCCCCCCCCCCCTAGAAAAAAAGTCTGAAAGAAACACCAGTCTGTCTACTTAAACAACAGCCCATGCATGTAAATGCCGCTACACAATTAGACATCCGGCTACAAGATGTGACATCCAGGTACATAACTTGACTTCCGGTTTCATTTCTGGAGAACCGGATACATAACTTGATATCCAGGTACATAAAGTGACATCCGGTGACATCTGGTTACACAACTTGACAACCGGTTACAATATCCGGTAATGTAAGGTTTTTATTCAGTTTGAGTTGCATGTCGACCTTTATAACGGGAATAACCCATGTTGTATGTCTAGGGCAGTGACCCATGTTGCATGTCCAGGGCAGTGACCCATGTTGTATGCCCAGGCCAGTGACCCATGCTGTATGTCCAGGGCAGTGACCCAAGCTTTATGCCCAGGCCAGTGACCCATGTTGTATGTCCAGGGCAGTGACCCATGCTTTATGCCCAGGCCAGTGACCCATGTTGTATGTCCAGGGCAGTGACCCATGCTTTATGCCCAGGCCAGTGACCCATGTTGTATGTCCAGGGCAGTGACCCATGTTGTATGCCCAGGCCAGTGACCCATGTTGTATGTCCAGGGCATTGTCCAGGGCAGTGACCCATGTTGTATGTCCAGGGCAGTGACCCATGTTGTATGTCCAGGGCAGTGACCCATGTTGTATGCCCAGGCCAGTGACCCATGTTGTATGTCCAGGCCAGTGACCCATGTTGTATGCCCAGGCCAGTGACCCATGTTGTATGTCCAGGGCATTGTCCAGGGCAGTGACCCATGTTGTATGCCCAGGCCAGTGACCCATGTTGTATGCCCAGGCCAGTGACCCATGTTGTACGTCCAGGGCAGTGACCCATGTTGTATGCCCAGGGCAGTGACCCATGTTGTATGTCAAGGGCAGTGACCCATGTTCTATGTCCAGGGCAGTGACCCATGCTGTATGCCCAAGGCAGTGACCCATGTTGTATGTCCAGGGCAGTGACCCATGTTGTATGCCCAGGGCAGTGACCCATGTTGTATGCCCAGGGCAGTGACCCATGTATGTCCAGGGCAGTGACCCATGTTGTATGTCCAGGGCAGTGACCCATGTTGTATGCCCAGGGCAGTGACCCATGTTGTATGCCCAGGGCAGTGACCCATGTTGTATGTCCAGGGCAGTGACCCATGTTGTATGTCCAGGGCAGTGACCCATGTTCTATGTCCAGGGCAGTGACCCACGCAGCATGGCCAGATAAGTTTCTTAGCCGATATCCCCCCCCCCCCCCACTATCATCACATTCCCAGATCGCATTCCGACTGTACCAAGTGCTATCTCCTCACGAAGAATATAAATTATGTAACGAAACGCATTGATTCATTATTTTTTATTCAATAGATGCCGCCGCCGTTTTAAAGAGGCGAATTAAAAAATACAACGAAATGGGTTTTTCTATCAACCGCGCAGTTTTTCTGCGCATATCCATTTAAATCTCATCTCGTTAAAAGCCTGTACAATATAAGGGTTTTCAAATAATTTAGAATTCATTGATGATTTGTCTCTTTTTTAATCACTAGTTCATATTTTATATAAACCTCAATGGTGGTTCTTTTGTTTTCAAAGCTGTTTTTTTTTTAAACTGGTGGGATATTAAAACATGGTGGTATTTTACAGCCTGATGGTATCTGGAAGAAGGGTGGTATTTATTGCCTTTGGTACTTTGAATACTGAAGGTAATTTGAAGACTAATGGTACTTTGAAGACTGGTGGTATTTTATAGCCATGGTGGTATTTTGAAGACGTGATATTTTATAGCCTGATGAAAACTGGTGGTATTTTATAGGCCTATGTTATTTTGAAGAAAGGTAGTATTTTATAAGCTAGTGTTTTTTTCTTAAACTTCATAATAGTCAGCTTTTCTAACATGCGCCCTCCCGTTACCCCCCCCCCCCCCCTTAAAGCACGTTCATCGATACTCACGACCCTCCCCAGAGAAATAGAAAAAAAATATATACCCCCACGGAAGTTTCAAGCGCAACTGGTTTAAAGTTTAAAGTTACAAAGTATTGTTGATCGTGTTCTTGGATGAATGAACCCACAATAACGACCGTATTGTCAAACCAACAAAATACGTGTTGTTACATTTACCTTAGTATTTTACCTGGATTGTATTTTACCTGGATTGTATTTTACCTGGATTGTATTTTACCTAGATTGTATTTTACCTTGACCGTATTTCCCTTGATTATATTTTACCTTGATTGTATTTTACATTGATTATATTTTACCTGGATTGTATTTTACAACATTCAAAACTCTATTAATAGAATGGGGAATAACACAAGGCGCGTCACGTGACTTGTGTACACGTGATGCGTCGCCGTACTCACCCTTGGCACTCAATATTTATCCCATGCAACTTTAATGTGGGGCTGGGGGGTGGGGCGGTAATTGCAATGAAACGTGAGTCACGAGGGTGAAGCGAGGGTTGAGTCGATGGCATGAAGACCGAGGGCTGTCGTCGCTTGGATAGACAAATTTGCTGGAGTTGTTTCCCGTTTAATTTCATCACTCCCGGGCCAGGTGGAGAAGTTTTATCAAAGTGAACGATGTGGCTGTCACGATGTTCTTCTGGTGGTGGATGTTGTGGTGGATGGTGATTGTTCTCATATTTTTAGGTGGATGTCTGTATAGTGGATGGTGGGTGCTTCCCTGAAGGATGGTGGATGTTGCTGTGGTGATAGGTGGATGTTGTGGTTGTAGGTAAATGTTACCGTTGTGAAAGTTGGATGCCCCTATAGTGGATAGTGGATGTTTCCTAGATAGATGGTGGATGCTCCCCTTGTTGTAGGTGGGTGTTGCCGCTATGGATGGCGATTGGTGCCATGGTGGTAGGTGGATGCTCCCTTGGGGTCATGGACATTGCCAACTGTTAATTATCGCCCAGCCATTAATTAACCCTCAGATTAAATACCCCCAGTTAATTATCCCATCTCAATTACTTTTCGTTTATTTCCTCATTTAGTACTACCCCCCTATTCAAGAATACCTATTATACAGGTTACCAGCAAAGTGGGGAACTTGGCATTTGGCATTAAGTCAGACTTCGGTCACAGAGAAACTAATCGGATTCCCTGCTTTTTCCTAGGCATTGACTAGTATGCGAAGCGTGAAAACCAAGGAATTGTAGGATTTTTTAAATTATTAATGTCACAGAGAAGGGCTTGAACATCACCAAAAAAACATCACTTAAATAGAACTATTTGAACATCACGTAAAGAACATAACTTAAATAGAACTACTCAAACATCACATAAAGAAGATCACTTAAATAGAACTACTTCAACAACACAAATATCAGCTTGCCGATCAATCGCATCAAGAAAAATCTAACACGGAGAATGAACTTACTTTCCCCTTTAAATGTCCTGTAACACATGAATTGGCTGGTGGTGAATGTCGAACCACGAAACAACGGAATTGGTAATGAGAATATTCTTTACTCTGGCTCAAAAATGCACAAGCCTTGAAAAAATAAACTTTCATTTTTCTCTCCCCTTTTACACAGTTTAAAGGAACAAATTAGAGCGTCATTATCACTTAATTATGATGACTATTTTTTTAACGACCAAATAAGGCGGCTTGTATTACGTACGGCTATACTTGATCGTAACAGTTATATTACTACATAATCTTGATAATAACAGGTACGTTACGACAAAATCTTGATTGTAAGTTATGTTACGACAAAATCTTGATTGTAAGTTATGTTACGACAAAATCTTGATTGTAAATTATGTTACGACAAAATCTTGATTGTAACAGTCGTATTACGACATAATCTTGATTGTAATAGGATGATGTGGTACCCAGTGTGGCAAGTGGGATAGTGTCGCACCTAAGGTGGCTCCAGTGTTTCTTCCAGACTTTTTTCTCCGGGGGGGCTTTTGAAATCTTCGGGGGGGCGGTAAACTTTCTTCGGGGGGGCGGACACTGTTAAAAGTATATATTTTCTATATAAATTATATAAATTTCATTTCGTTCGGGGGGGCGGTAAAAAATTTTCGGGGGGGGCTTCGCCCCCCCGAAGAGATGCCTGGAAGAAACTCTGGGTGGCTCTATCTTGGGAGGATGGTGTCGCGTTTAACCACCACACCACATCTTTTTCTCTGACACGATCTAGTCATACTTTATCATCTTTTCCATTTTTTTTATTATAGACCCTTACTTTAAAGGGAGTCAAAATTTCTTTATTAATTCGCTTTAACAATAAACGATAATGTTCGTTTACCATCTGTTCCCTAACTTCCATTTTCCTATTATGATGCTGATAATCTTTTTTTAAATAACACTTAAAATTTTTATTCTCCTTTCTTATATTAATTAATAACAAGAAAATCTAAACTGTTTATAAATAATGTAAAATGATGCTAATTTTAAAAATTAAAGAAATCCAAGTGATAAAATGTGTTGTACTAAATGTTGATCAACTTATAATTACTTTTTTAAGATTAGTCGTTCGCAAATAAATAAGAATTAATCAACGTTTAATACCAAACGGTCAATTATGTATAAGACATTTTTTAATCTCCCTTCCACGAATAACATTTAACAAGGGAGATTAAACTGAAACATAGACGTCTTGAAGCAGATATAATTTCACCAATTAAATATTGACGCTGGCGTCGTTGGCCGATGGTGTGACAAAGATGTTAAACACCGATAGTGCACTGGTGCTTCTAAAGATGAAAGAGCTGGGTAATTGGGAAATCCTTTTTAAATCATAATCTTATCTAGAGGGGTCATTAGCTTTAGTGGCTGGCATCGCTGAATAGCGGGATTTGAAACTAGTAAAAAGATGTCAGGTGTAAACAAGTTGTACATATCCTTCACATCTTAACTTCAACTTGTATTAATTATTATTATCATTTTTCAATAATGTTTAAAATGGGTCCCCGCCCCACCCCTAATGATTTAGCTTTGTGTAATTTGAATTCACTAATGTAAGAATTTCGATTTCGCTTTAAAACTTTGAGTGCAATATCTAGTTTTCTGAATATTGTTTTATTTAACGGAAATGCAATTAAATTAAGATGCTTTTATATAGATGCAAGAGTGGATTCTAGTGTTTCGATACGCGTCGCATGCAGTACGGGTCGCATGCAGCATATGAAATGGATCAATGCTAGCAGACTGACGGACAAACAGATGGACAGACGGACAGACATATGGACAGACGGACAGACACATAGACGGTCAGACACATAGACGGACAGACAGACGGCAGGATGAACAGACATACAGGCAAACATAAAGACACATAGACAGACGCATAGAAAAATAAACAGACACACAAACAGACAGATACACTGACGGACTTACAGGTTAGGCGAACGGACGGACGGACGGACATATGGACGGACGGATAGACGGACGGATAGTTGTACGAACAGATGGTCGGACGGACGGACCGACCGACAAACAGACAGACAGACGAAGAAGGTGACAGCAAGTTCCCTATTAGCACCAGATCTCGACCCCTGCCGCGGCGTGACTTAACACCGAGTGCACGCGCAGATGTCAATCAACTCCGCGCCCTCGAGGCGGGGGAAAAATCGTGTCAAGACACTCGACTGTCAAGCTTGCAGTACAAACTACACGATAAAGTAAGATCAGTCAAGCTTGCAGTACAAACTACACGATAAAGTAAGATCAGCCCTGCCCCCTTAGAAAATCGACTCGTTGGTTTATTTTTAGCCTAAAGGTGAATTCACGCATTCAATAACAGAAATACAAAAGCAATTTTCTAATTTTTTTTTAACTTCAATAATTTTCTATTTTGCATTCAAATCGATCTAGCAAAATTCAATATATTTTACAATCGCGGCAATAAACTTAAAAAAAAAAACATTGTTGAAATCAGCGATAGAAGTGGAAACACGCCCTAGTATTTTAAAAGAAATAATCGTAAAATTAAATATTCTGAAATGTCAACGTCCGTATTACCAGAAACACGGAACAGCAATTCCCCCCCCCCCCACCGCCTTCTACCTTCTACCATCCACCCCCTACCCCTCACCTCCAACCCTCACACCCCCCTCTCCGGTCTGTTGAAGGTTTTAAAAATTCATATCTAATACTCGCCAATGGAGAACTAAATAACGGGCGTATTGTGTATGCCTCCCTCCCTCCCCCTCCCTCATTAGTGCGTCCCTCGCTCACCCTGCTTGCCTTGAGCCATCTTCTGCTGTCCAAGGTTCCAGAAAGGTGACCACCGAGTAGGATCCAGGCCCTTAAAGTAATTTCTTTCCAGAATAGGGAGCCGAAGTTCGGCCCTCTGAACCCCATTTTACGTTTGGCTCGCATTTCTATTTTTGATGTCGGGTAACTAAGTAAATTGCGAAATGAACATCTAATCAACTTATAAACTTCCAAAAATACTCCAGGCATTTCAACAATAGATTTAGCTACATAGTGTTACGTTAAGTAGAAGAACGTTTACTTGCTTTAAGATAGTTATCATTGCATTACTATTACATAAATAATTTATGTGTTATGAAACCATATGAAGGTCTACATATTGATTCGTCTTTCGATAGATTTACACTACACACTAAATAGTTGGTTAAAAACAACAGCAGATTAGCGCATACAACAAGATATAACCATCTTTCTTGCAATCTGTAACGTGTAAGAAAAAACGGAAGCCATATTACGGCGCGTAATTCTTAAAGTTAAAAATATCCGTCTGCTCCCAACCACGTGAGTGCATCCAGGCATGTGAGCTCACACAAGTCACGGTCACCTGACCTTCCTTCTCCACCCCCACCCTCCCCGCCTTAAAACTATAACAAAATAATCTTTAGAACAACTCACTACATTAGAGACGCTAAACGTCCCATTAATAATGGAGCTGAGGGTGCGACATGCTAAGAACCTGCTGACGCGTGGTATCTAATTTCTTAACGACATCACCCAGTGGCCATCTTCCGGCCGTGACGGACAGGCTGACCTCTAGGCGCTGGTTCGATGTCTTCTGTTGTTCCTCTTCACTCACCCTAACAGAATCATTTCGCCCAGTTACTTCTTGCGGCGAGGCGATGTGGTATTTATACATTTTATATTAGCTTATTGTCTTATAACAGGAAGAGATCACGGAAATATATATATATATATATATATATATATATATATATATATATATATATATATATATATATATATATATATATATATATATATATATATATGTATGTATATAACTATATATATATATTTATATATATATATAGAGAGAGAGAGGGAGATATGATGGAATTTATATAAAGTTTAAACTTAATACAATGTACACCAATTTAGTGCCAAAATATGTTCGTTATGTTTTTAAAAATATGTTATGCATCTTTTAAATATTTAAATCCATTATAAAGCTGCCAAAAAAACCTGTTCGCTAACCGATAAAATCATCAACAGTGGAAGGAAACATTCAATAAGCTGAGGTCGATTCCGCTCAAGTGGCGTTTAGTTTTTTTAGATACAATTTTAATTAGATAATTTTTAATTACAGGGTCCATACTCTAGTAGCACTGATGCTTTGATTGATTTTTGCCTTGTTCAATTGGCTGAATGTTTTAACGTTGGATGGTAATGTCTTTACTAGTTGTTTCGCTTGACTGAATAGTCCTCTCTTTTAAATGTCATTTCTTGGTGTTAACATTTCAGAAAGAAACCGGGGGTTTATTCCTATTAAAACTAGTTTAATATGCTAAGCTTGGAAACGCCTTTTAATTAAAGTGGTACTTATAAGGACCGTCAGTAGATAAAGGGTTAATGGAAACATGAAAAGAAATTTCGAGATTTATTCTTTATATTCAAGGAGGACAACTCAAAAACGTAACGTTCAGTTGATTTAGATAGTACACTACACGTGTGTTAAGTGGACAAATGAGTTACCTAACCTGCCGTACGGGCGGTTACGCTAAAGGGACACAACTTTAATGATTTGTACGCAAATTTAATGACGTCACTACGAGTTTATCCTCTCCACATATACATTATGTAGACTTGCTTTAAACCCTTTCGAATGTATGCTATAGTAGTTGTATATCCGAGAATGATTTAATGTAGTTTTAGCCCTATTTCTAATAAAATGATGACATTTAAAATCCTAAATTACAATGACTAAAATATCTTTTTAAAAAAAAAAAACATTCCCCAGCCCCAGAAAAATAATTCGATCCTTACACACTGCTCGGGGCTTCCGAGTGTGGTGCGACGCATATGTGCCGAAGTTTAATTGGGATTTCCCGAACACTTAAAATATCACGGTTAACGATTCGCTCCCCTTTTCATTGGGCTGAAAGGGACAGAATTGTGAAAGACAGCCTATTATTTTGGTCTCTTTTTTTAACGTTAACATTTTTTTCTGCAGATTTTTTTTCTTTTTTTTCTGAAAAGCGTAAGATGTTTTTAACTACTAATTCTCATTTACAACAGAATTCTTTTTTATAGTCTTGAATGGAAATTTAAAGGAAATAAACTGATGACAAAGTATTTTAACAGTGAGCACTTTGCAATGGACGCTATTTATAGATTTGATTAAAGGAGATCTGTAGAGGTGGTTTCCTGTTACGTTAAAGATAATCGAAGGCGTATCTTCATCAGATTAATGTTTTTAATGCTCTTTTGGAATGATGGCCGTCTAATTTTATGGCCGTCTAGAACGACACCCAATTAACACGCTGGCCGTCTAATTCTAACGTATGATATTCCTATCCTCTAAGTACAAGAGAACCTTAATTAGTTTGGCCGTCTGATAAATAAGGTCGCTAGAACTATCGTCTAATGTTTTTGGCCCTATATGGTTCAACCGTCAGTGCAAATCTCTAATGTTAAATTATAGCCGTCTAAAATACGGCCGCTAGTATCATCATCTGCATCTTGTGGCCGTCTAAAATAAAACCGCCAGTTCAAACCAGTAGAATTGTGGCCGTCTAAAGTATAAGACAGTCAGTGCAAACCTCTAATATTGTGGCCGTCTAAACTAAGACACTCCGATCTTTGATATTTTTAATTCGACGTATCACTACACGGGAATCAAAAAACAAATTAATTTTATTTAGTCAAATAATTAAAATGTTATCGATACAACACGACTACAACAGACGAAGAAATCGATTCCACTCGCTGTATTATGTTCAAACGATTTTATACGCCAGCTTTCGTTAAAGAGGTTATATATCACCGGTGAAAATTCTTATAGTTCTCAATCATAATGAATGTTAATCGGGGGGGGGGGGGGAGGCGTGAGAGGGGGGGGGGGTGATTGTGGGTTTTGTTGTATCTGGAATCCATATCTTTATAATTATCTTTATATAGTTAGCGTTATATAATTAGCAGTATACAAAGCGTTATATAGTTAGCGTTATATATTTAGCCTGATGTAATGGAATGTGATGGCGGATGGTGTTTTGTGTTACTTAAGGTGTTTTTGAGTTCTGGTTGTGGTAATGTTGGGATCTGTTTTGGTGGTGTTTAAGTTTGCTATTGGTGGTGGGGTGTTTGTGTGGTTTAGTCACATAATGTTGAGCCATATAATGTGTCGCCTGCTATAAAAAAGTTGCCCAAAAAGCGGAAATCTGGTGCTAGCTCATCAGTCAATATAAGACTTCCGGAGACTCTGAGTTTGAGGTAATGAAGTTTGTTGTGACTCTGTGTTTCCGGTAACTCTGTACTTCCGGTGACTCTGAGATTCCCCC